GCACCATCCATCCTGCATCATCTCATCTTGGCAACAGGACATCTCTGCAGGAGTTCCTCAGGACGTTGTCCTAGGGCCACCCATCTTCAGCTGCTTCATCAATGGCTTTGTCTTCATCATAAAGTCAAAAATGGAGATGTGTTGCCATTGGTCAACAATATTCACCTCTATTTGTAAATCTTCAGATACTGAAGCATTCCATGTACAAATCTAGCCAGGCCTGGACAATGTCCATGCCCCACAAATGCCAGTCAATAACTATCTCCGACAACATAGAATCTAGTCACTGCTCCTTGACATTCAGTGGCATTTCCATCGCTGAATTCCCCAATAGCAATAACCTGGGGGATACGCTTAAACAGAAACTCAAATGGATTTGCCACATGAACATACAGACTACAAGAGCAGGTCAGACTCTAGGAATCCAGCAGTGAGGAACTCACTTCCTGACTCCTCAAAACGGTCTGCCATCAACAAGTCACAAGTCCGGAGTGTGATGGAATGCTCCCTGTTTGCCTGCAGAGGTGCACATACAACAACAGTCAAGAAACTTGACATTCCAGCACAACACAGCCTACATGATGGACATCACATAGACAGGGATCCACTCCCTCCGTCACCGATGCTCGATATCATCAGTCTATACCATTTACAAGATATTTTGCAGAAATTCTCCGAGGCTCCTTAGAGAGCACCTTCCAAATCCCATGTCACTACTGTTTAGAAGCAGTAGTGGCAACAGATACTTGGGATCACCACCACCTGCAAGTTCCCTTCCAAGCCACTCATTCTTGACTTGGAAATATATTGCCGTTCCTTCCTGGCTGGGTCAAAATCCTGGAATTCTCTCCCTAACAGAACTGTGGGTCAACCCACAGTATGTGAACTGCAATGGTTCAAGACAGCAGCTCTCCACCACCTTCTCAAGGGCAATTAGGGACAGGCAATAAATGCCAGTCCGGCTCGTGACAACCATATCCCGTGAATAAATGAGAAAAAAAGGACCCAAGCACTTAACCAAACTGCAGCTCCAATAATTTACTCAGTATATCACTTCTCTTGTGATTCTGATTTTTCCGGAGTTCCTTTCACCCTTTTATATCCTGATTTATAGCCACATCTGGGATTTTTCTTGTATATAATGTAGTGAAGACTGAGGTATGTAGCTGTTCAATTTGTCTATCATTCCTTATTTTCCATTATTAATTCCCCGCTCTCACTTTCTATGGGTCTGATGCCCACTTCTTTTTCATCTTTAAATATTTTTAGAAAATTTTGGACGCGTCTTTCCCTCTAATTTTTTTTGTCATTTGTTGTTTTTCTCCTTCCGTCTGTTCAATCTTCTGGCCTGCTACCTGTCTTTAGGTAGTTACTTTGATATTGTTTTTTAATATTTCCAGTTGTGAATGGTTGGTCCATCCCTTGGAATTTTGCTCATTGGAATGCATCTATTCTGTATATTCTGAAATATTTCCTTCAAAATCTGCCACTGCATATCTCCTAACTTTTCTTTAGCTAAACCTGCCAGTTCACTGCAAACTGGTCTGCATCTGTTCCCTCATAATTGCCCTTACTTTAAAATTTAAATACTAGTCTTGGACTCACTTTCTTCTACCGCAAACAAAATTTATGTTATGATCACTGTTACCTAGGGGTGCCTTCACTGAGATTATTCATTAATCCTGTATCGTTGCGCCATTCCACTGTAGTAAGACCTCGTGCCTGCTTGGCTCCAGAACAAGTTATTCTCAGACATTATGCTGAAAACATACTGTGAACTCCTTACCTCGGCTACCTTTGCCCACCTTATGTTTCCCGTCGATATTTCGATTGAAATTTCTCACGTCTGTTGCTGTGCCTCTCTGACAAGCTCTCGTTATTTCTTCCCTTATATACCCCACCCTGCAGTGTGATTGCTGTTAGGGGCCTTGTACACAACTCCTCAAGTGACTTCCGGTTTAAATGAGTTACAGAGATAGTAGGAACTGCAGATGCTGGA